TATATATATATATATATATATATATAAGGTAATGGTATCATAATGTCTTTTAAATACATTCCATTGAATAGCATGCAAATCTTTAATTTCACATTACAAATATTAGTAATATTAATATCACCTATGTTTTAAAAGTGAAATGTAATTTTTCATGCCTATGCTGATGACGCCAAAGTGCTTTAAATATAAATTTTAAAGTTTAAATGTTAAATGTGTAAATACATAAAAATTATGTGGTATATATGTAAACTTTCCTAAAAGAAAATGTAGATATAAAATTGTTTTTGAATGGAGCCAACATAGTTGACTATAAGAGACCAAAATAAAAAGGCTTCCATTATATTTATGTTTATCTATGAAATATAACATTACTCGCCATCAACATGATCTCAAAGCTCATTTTAAAAAGGGGTTTTTTATATGGGTGCCACTCAAAATATAGTTATTTACATATTAAACACACACCTTAACATTTAGGTCAATTTACATACATAGAATTTATTTATCTATCTCACACCCAAGCTTTGATTTTACATGGTAAGTACCTTGTCCTACGTATGAAAAGGTGGAAATAGTGTAATCCACCTTTTCATACGTAGATTAGAGGGCTTATCATGATCATGTAAAAATCGAACTCTGGGTGTGAGATAATTAAATGCATAAGAACGAGACATCAAATTAGACACTCTCCATTACCCCCTCATTTACTTATCTCGTAGAGAGGCTATCCCTCGTGGACGGTCGCACAAGATTTTTGGCAGGGTTTCTTTGAGTTTCTCAGTTGTTTCAGCCCTTTATCGAATTTGTTGAATTTATCATGCGACTACCTCGGAGTCATACTTTAGTTTGGAGAATGTCATTTCCACATCTTTAATGTCTTGTTGCCTTTTATGTAGTGGTGGAACTATTTGTTGGCTTTATTTTTGAAAGTTTTATGTGGTGTTATCCTTATTTTTTTGGTGCACTATAAATCATGTTGAGTCTATTAAGTTTTAAATTAAATAATAATAATAATAATAATATAAAAATATATATTATAAATTCTTGTTCTCGTTGTTCCAACGAGGCAGGAAAATCATTTGTCACACTTGCACGGGTATCTGAAGGTGCATACGCGTCTTTTAGACCGGTGGATTAGAAGCTAACCTTGATGTTGAAAATAGTACTCTTGCACGTCTTATGGACCAGTGGTCGAGCCAAGCACCGAGGAGATATCACCCCCCTGACATAGAAATAGAGCTTAAATTGAACCACTATGAACTTAATTGAACATATAAATGATTAAGTAAAAGAACAAAATTAAATATCAAATGAAACTACGAAGTTAGTATTTTTTTGAAGAAATTAAAATCCAGCTTAGAAGACAAGAAGAGTTCTCCTACTCTAAATGGGATACTCAAAAGTTTCTAATATCTCTAATCTACAAAGGAGAATTGAATGTAGTGTGAAATAGACTGAAGTCATATTCCCCCTATTTATAGAAAGATGATTAGCACCTTGTGAAATTTGTCACATCAATGTCCAATCATGCAACAATGAAACTCTCATTCCACTAAATATATATATATATATATATATGAGATTTCAATTCATCTATCCACCATTGAATCTACAACATTCGCACAAGCAGCCAAAAAATGAGAATTTAAGGCTTAAAACTAAACTTGACTGCATTAGCTCCAACAATTTACTAAATGATCAATCATATGGTCTGATAATGTTGCATGGAGTGCATATGAGTCTATATTGAAACATGTGTTACCTCGAGATGCATGTAAATCATACAAATTTTGTGAAAATGTCTTTTTTTTTAAATTTGAATTTAACATCATTAAGGTTAACACACAATCGATCGGAACACTCTGTTTATAGGACAGTCATAAGTCACAATTATGGCCAGCCTTATCCTCCTCGTCGGGACCAGTGTTCACAAGACTGAGCTCCACTTAGCCAATGCAACTCTTCTCCTTGAAAGGATTGGAGTTGACATGATTAATGCTCTAACAACATTCAAATAACAAATTTCAACCGAAATTATAGTTATAAACACTCTTTAATTTTTTGACGATGGTCATATTCATTGCACATCTTAACCAGAGGGTCTATTTATAAAATTAAATCATTAAACCATAAAATCCAAAAAAAAATTCACATGCATGCCTATTACTTAAAAGTCAAGAGCAACTTCTTTCATCCTCAGCAATCGTTTGTCAAGACTGACAAATCTAATGCTAACCTAAGCTCACAAAAAATAAATGTCATATTAATTATACTACTAAATTCACAGTTAAAAAAATCTCATCTAAGTAAGAATGTGGCATGAGTCCTTTGTCTATATAGTTTGACTCAATTCCACAAAAAAAAAGTTATGACTAGAGCACTTTGATCGGATGGTTTGGTCAATAGGCTCCATCAAGTGGTTTGGCTAGTAGGCTCCATCAGATGATTTGTTCAATAAGCTCCATCAAATGGTATGGCAAATAAACTCCATTTACTTTGGTCAATAAGCTTCATCAAGTTATTACAGTCACAATTATAGCCCATGTCTTACCTAATGACTTTGCTTATTTGAACTGTGAACTATAGGATATAACTGATAGGTCATAAAGCCCTATGTTAGGTAAGAGGACTTAAATTTGTCTCCTTAGATAAACATCTAACTCATGTCAACAAGATTATCTTGGACGAAGCAACCCATGACAATGGACAAGGTTCTTTTTATCAAGTTAGGTTGATTGTCTCTTTTAACTAAATAAATTAGAGACCCTGACAATCAAAGGCGACGGAATCATGGGATCCTGATTGGGTTTTTCACAATTTCCCCTATTATCCTCTCTAAACTAAGAGTGATAATTTTATAATTTCAAATTTTAAATATGTTGTTATACTAAGTTCAAATACTTGGCGCTAAACGACTAGCCTTAATCAAAAGTTCTATCTAATTATCGGGAAGTGTAATTGAACATAAGGGTTTGCACCTATGGGAAACCTCGAACCCCAAATCTTTAAGTCCTCGCAAAAATGAATGTGAAAGCTTTGCATAGTGTCTTATAAACAATCTTATTTGCCATCTGAAAATTTGATCCAGAAACTTACGGTAAACTCCCTCATCTCATTTTATTCTTTTCAAGGGAGATTGAGGAGTCAAATTTTCAGAGCGCACAAAGGTGCAGACTAAGTGTATTATCATATGTAAGACAGATCAACTTTAGTATCAATCAAATGGAATTTTACATGGATGCTACCACAAACATATATATTTAATTGACTTCATGAACTAAAATAGATTTTGGTGGCTGCTGCCTTATTTATATTGTAGCCGCATGATGGACAACATCCAATTCACAACAAGTTGTGGAGCATGAAAGCAAGACTAGAGATGTATGTATTTAATAGACATTTTATTGAGTGCTATAACGTATTTGTAATGACAGCAAGACTAATATATTGTATTTAGTAAACTATCCATAGAAGAGTATGCATTTAAATGTACAAATATACATAAACACATAAAAAGAAATAAACCTCAAAATGAACAGTTATCAACAGGAGAAAATTCAGGGGCAAACAATATGGAGCATGACTTCTTCATTAAATATCTGCAAGCAAGAGTGCATTGATGGATACAACTCGGACAATAGATGATGACAACAATGATGATAACGATAACATTAAAATCTGAAACATTACAGTTGTACATATGGCTTTAGCAAACCAAAAATACATCAGAGATATAATGACAACTTGACATAAGATCTTCAAGTCAAGTAAAATGGCATCAAAATTCTGCTGTATCATCTCATCATAAGCTCATGGCAAACCCAAAATATCATGCACAAATGATTCAGTTTCGCCCACCCATTGGAAAAAATAGTTGTTCGTGTATGTCCAATTTCGAGGCCATCAATGGAATCTCCTATCACTATTTTCACCCATGTAACATGCATACAAAACACTTTGTAAATTGCAATAAAATTGTATTTGATATATAAGTGAAATACATTTGTTTTAGGTGACACTCATGTAAAGGCTCTCAAACTTGAAAAATAAAGATTAGCAAGTAAACCAATTTACAACAATCCTGTTAAACAAACCATAGAAAACCTGCAACTAAGATGTTCAGAGCTTATTGAACTTGTGGCAACGGGGGGAATGAAGATAGAATTGGGGCTGGTGGGGGAGGAATGTTGAGAGCCTATCGCTTGCGGCAAGAAGGGGAATGAAGACAAAATGTGGGTCACAGGTAGGTAAAAATATTACATGCAGACTTGCTAGGTGTGGATTAGGTGTGCATCGGTGGTATTGGGGTGGTATTGAAGTACAATAACACCTCAATACCACCCCAATATCACGGTACGCCCGGCGTACGTAATATTCGCCCCACGAGTAGAGAGGTACCATAAGAAGGCAATGTCGACCTATAGGCAACGGCTATAAGATGGGATTACACGACATCAACTATTACAACAAATAAATAAATAATATACCTTCACGAATCAACGGCGACAACAAATATATTTATATATATAGATATATTTGTGTGTGTGTGTAAGTTTTAATTGAACTTTTTTTATAAGTAAATATAAACTTATTACCTCGTCCTTTAAACATTCAAATTTAAACAAACGCCTTACAATACAACTAAGGATTTTTTTTTTTTTTTTTAACTTATTTCACAATGTTGGAATTTTTATTGTTTAGTTATCGTAGGATTGCAAAGTTTTGACAACTTCTAAATCTGTATAATACATAATGCAACTATTATTGTTGTAAGTTATCAATAAAAATAATTATAGAATTATTGCAAAATAACAATAATAATTTTGTTAAAAGTTAACGGGAGTTGATTTTTTAAAAAAAAAATTTAACTTTCTTAGTGTTATTACACTATAAAAATGTAGCTGCAAAAACTTATTTTACACAAATTTTCGGGAGAAAAAAGTGCAGAAAAACATAAGAAAGATTTACATATTGTATGAGACTAGGGCTGAGAAATTGGCTCGAAGATAAATAATCGCTCAAAAATTGATTCGAATTTGAGATCAAATCGAGATCGGATCGAATAGAATGAGTTCAAATCAGATGATTCTTGAATTTTGATAAGATGATTCTTGAATTTTGATGATTTTCAACCTCAAATATTCATTCAAAGCTGCAAAAGAAATAAAATAAAACTTGATAGGCAATAAAGTTTTATTTATGTAATGTGTAGAAGTACTCAAAGATTCAAAATAATTAAATTAAGACGGACTCATACGCATACCTTTACTTTTTATATTTAATTTTTATAAGCTTAACTAATTCCTGCATTTCAAAACTTTGAGAAAATATGAGTACATTTAAACTAAATCAAGCACTAAATTTTCTAACAAATAATAATGCTCAATTCAATAGCTAAAAAAAATCAGATAATAATAATAAACTTATCATATTTGCCTCAAATAGGAAGAAGCCTATCTTTTGAAACATCAACAAAAATAATTATAATTTTACACTTTAGATGCTTATGAATCATTAAGAAGAAGGTTATAGCCTAGAAGAATGCATCTAAAAAGTACAAAACTATCTAACCATATTCTCATTTCTTTCACATATTAAAAAAAAGAAATTTATATACATACCACGCAATTCTTATATAATTACTAATCTAACAAGTAAAACATGCATGTAAATATGAATGTTCGGGTGCTAGATAAGTAATAACATAATAATTCTGTGGCATGTATCTAATGCCCCTTGAAAAGATAAGGAATAATTTAATTGCAACTATCTGCAGATATGCACATGTAAAAAGCACATACCTTTGAATCAATTTAGCCTCATCCACTACGCTTCCAAACTAGAAGTCATAAAACATATAAAGTTAAATAAAAATTTTTCTAAAGCATAATTAGTCTTCAACAACTAACTCGAAAAACTATCATTGGAAGGCAAAATAAAATGTTTCATCTATAATTCCACAAGCATTGAGAGCTAAAATCCCTTGAACACGCGTACAGACGAACTTGCAGTTTCAAAGTACACTTTCTATTCTCAAAATATACCAAGAATTAAAAAAAAACAACTCAGAAAATTCTAAGACTAACATAATAAACTCCATCCAAAATTATCTAGCAAGTTAGTATGGCATGAAACGAGTTTAAAACATATGCTAAAACCTATAAATTTATAATTTTGAGATTTTAGATAACACTCTAAACTGCATATAAATATTTCAAGATATCACCCATAATTTAAAAAGCACCAAGATTTCAGATAATCAGTTGACTAACATCATTGTTTCATTAAAAACATCCAACATTTTATAAAACAAGAAGTAAATGTAGTGTTCGATCATTATCAACAACACAAGAATTTAAGGGCAAAAGCAAAAAAAAAAAACAAATGTTATAATTTTATATCATAAAACATATATTAAATTCAACATACTGAAAAAAAAAAGATGCAGCATATTAGGAATCTCCAAAATTACGAATCTCATAAGTCATAACCATCTCATAACCAGAAGAAACAGGTGAAAGCAATTTAGGGGCAATTACATACTACCACCCAATTCCTATGTATTTACATATATAAGAACTAAACTTTATTTTTTGCATTTATACCACCCAAATCTTTCACATCACAAAAAATACCACCATTTTAACTTCTTAAAAAGTGAAATTCGCATGTTCAGGCTTAGAGATGTAGTATGTACGTAAAAACTGAAATTTAGATGTTAGATATGTAAATACATTGATATTAAGTGGTATGCAAGGGAATCTTCCAAAAATTTATGTATCAATTTAGATTCCATTCAATGGGGAGGATTAATTAAACTCAATGATAATTCAACTCCAAGGAATAAAAAAAGAAAATCAAAATAAAACCATGAAAAAGAAAATATTAATACAACTTCCATAAAAAGAATAAAAATGTAAATTTAATCAAATGAAACATTGCATAATGCAATGTTTCATGTTCTAGAATTTTACTGCTAAGGAAATATATTTCCATATCAGTAAACAAATATTTGAGGATTTATTTGGGAATATTGAGAGTATACGTAAAGAATTGATTTAAAAAGATTACATCGCAAAATTTTGTTAATTCTTTTCAACAACCCGAGAATTTAGTGCATAAATTTCAGTATGTCTAACCATTTTTGTTTAAGACTGTTAGCCATAAACAAGATAAAAAACATATGCATAGTAGTTTATGACTCCCAACAACAAAAGAAAAATAAAATCCATAATCCTCTACCTGGACAGTCAAAATAAAAATAAAAGCATAAGCATGAAAGTTTATGACTGTCAACCACAAGCCAAAAAAATCAATTTACAAAACATCCAAGTTTATAAAATAATAGTCTTGATTCATAATAAGTTCCGAAATAAAGAAAATTACCATTCTCGTTTACTAATTATGACTTCTAATTTTCAAATGAATTATCTATTCAAATTTCAAATTCACCAATCAAGCTTTCAGGAACATGTACTATTAAGTTCTCTTCCACAAGAATGTCAATCTAAAATTGCAAGATAAAGTTATACATTTGTATAAATTTATGTAATTGTAACATTCAATGAGAAAAAAAAAATTAAATATAACAATGCTTCCTTTGATGATTTATATGCAAATCGAATCCAATTAGGAGTAAAAATTGAACTTTTATAATTATTTAGCACAAAATGTTGATTTAGAAGTAACAGTTATGATTAGAACTATAAAGATATCATTCATCATCTTAGAAAGAGTTTATATTTTATAGCGAATATTTTTCATCACTCCAAAATATCAAACTCTGAATCAGAGCATTTAACACATGTTTCTTAAAAGTATAACTCAAGGTCAGACTTCTGTGAAAACAAGAGTCAGATCGAATCTATAAAATCATATAAGTCAGTCAAATCATCAAGTGAACTATTGTTGTCTTATGTTGTGATTATTAACCTACTTGAGAGTTAGAGGTGGATGTTTCGCCGACTTCTTTTCTAATATGTTGTTTATCAATAACAAAATAGTACATCTCAAAAAAAAAAATTGCTTCATAATATCATTCTTTTCATTAACAATAAATTCATCATAAATTTGTGGATTAAGGTAATTGGTGACAAACAATTTCATTCTAAGATCTAAAATGTAAGCAATTAAAAATGACATAAAGCAGTCTCCTCGATATTTATCAAACTTTAACTTCCTGGTTCTTGACATATTATAAATAATAAGAGTATGAGATAAACATTCCCGATCGAAAATTTTCTTAATGAGTATTAAGTTGGTAAGAAGTTTATTTGTTGTGAGATAACTAGAGCCTAAGAAAAATTTAGTTATTCGGTGAAAAATATGATTTAATTATTTAATCTTATCAAATTGATCCCATTCATCCTTTGATGATAATGAAACACAATTAAGATCGTGCAAATCATATTCAAGAAAGACATTTTTACATAAAATGTAGAATCTAACATTTTGTATGTGAAGTTCCAACAAGTTGGCACATCAATGTATAATGACTTCGTTGTTGATAAATCAATCTGTCATGCAATCTCCCCAAAGTTATGTAAGCAGCTATGAGATTTTTTTATAAATTATATTGACTCTAACAATTTCAATTATCTTCTTAATTTCTTTCAAACTATTTTGCATCACTAAATTTAAAATATAAATAGCACAATGAACATAAAAAAAAAAATCTTCTCAAATGAGAAAACCATACCTTCTAGTAAACAATCCTTCCAAATTTCTAGAAGTCACGTCATTTTACGGTGCATTATCCAAAGTAACAGTACTTTGTTTTGTAGACCTCATTGTAACAAATAGGGTTGTAAACGAGCCGAGTTTGAGCGAGCTCAGGCTTGGCTCGTGTTCGGCTCGTTCGAAATAGCTCGTGTTCGAAATCGGCTCGTGAACAGTGTCTCATGTTCGGCTTGTGTTCGGCTCGATATTGGCTCGTTAAACTAAAATTGAGAAAAATAGATGTAAAGTGTGGGATTCGAACCTAAATCAAATCTATACTAAAAAAGACACTAATAACATTGCCACATGAGGTGTTATGATTTAAATTTAGTCATAAATATATATAATATATTATTATATAAATAATATATGTAATATATTTATTGTTATATAAAAAGTTATATTTTTTTTTCGAGCCATTTCGAACCGAACACGAGTGAACAAACTGTTGTTCGTGTTCGGCTCGTTTACATTTCGAGCTTAAAAATTTGTTCGTGTTCGGCTCAACGTTGTTCACAAACAACGAGCCAAATTGACAGCCCTAGTAACAAATTATTGAAAATTGGTTCATAAATCACAGATCCATTATGTGGAGGTTATAAATCATTAAAACTAATTATCTTAAAATATAATTTTCAATCAGAATTAATGTAATATACAGCAAGCCATATATAATTAATAGTTTGATTTGTTGTCCAACAATCACTAATAAGTGAAACTATTTCAGTTAGTTTCAAAGTTCTTTTCAATTTTTCTTTCTCAACTTCATAAACTTTCATGCACTCTTCCTTGATAGAAAACCTTCAAATTTCTCGATAGTTTGGATTCATTAATTTTATCAAAATGTTAAACCATAAATGTTCGACTGTCATGAAGGAATATTCATAAATAATGATCAGTTTCGACACAGGTTTTTCATTCTACTATAATCATATGCAAATGAGACATATAAAGAAAAAATAAACTCGGATTCATCAAAATACTCAGCTATTAGGTTAAAGAGCTTTTGCTTTTTTATCTTTACTCTCTTTTTACAATAATGATTTGTTTTGAAATGTCTGCTCATTTGAGAACCAGTATCAGTTTTTTCTTCACATAAGACTTCACACAGTGGTATCTCTAAAAATTTGTCAACATTAAATTAATAAATACTAAAGAAGGGTATATATTAAACTAACCCGGTTGCATTTGTTGATTTGTAACAAACAAAAAAATAGATAATAACAAATGTCATCCAACGGTCGAGGGGAAACCCTAAACTTATAAATAAACAGTATATAATTAGAAAACAAATCAAGAATCATCATATTCTTAAAAGGTGGTTAAAGACAATATATAAGCATTTTGATATAGTAAAAAAATTCTTTTTGGAACAAATCACTACAGTAGAATTCAGGGTAGAGATGAAAAGCATAGAGTACTCCATTTATGTATATATAGACACACATATATGCCCAAATCAAAAACTTAAAAAGCTTAAAATCTATGTAAAGGCTTGATTTAAGCAATATATGTCAAAACCATTCTTCATCTAATAGTGATATATACAATTATTAGGTGGAGTAAATCTCCATTCTCCAGATCTGAAAAAAGTAATAAAAAATAAGGATAAATCATAGCATATAACCCTCTCTATGATAAGGGAAAGGTCATTTATAATGTAGTAAATGCTGGTGTGCACAAAAGAAATGAAACAATCATATCCATGAATATAAACTCATGTTGATTTTTCTTTTAATTATTCTATCTACCCTTTTTGACGCATTATAAAGGTTAATAATTATTCTGATAAATCTCTTGTAAGTCAACTACAATGGCAAATCTATCAAAAGAAGAGTGGAAATCTCACAAAAAGGCAAGCAAGGTACAACTTCAATTTTGAAAAGTGTGCAATTTTTCTCATTTTCTTTTTTTTTAATAGTAGCTTCTAAAGATACAATTGAATATGTAATTAAATATATACCCAAAGTGGTAAAAAACACCATAAATTGATATAAAAGAAATGAACATGCCATGATGATTCTAGGCAAACTTACCAGCAAAGATTCACATGAACTTAACCAAAGCATGTACTTGCTAGAAACAGTCTAGACTCACACACCGATCATAAGGATAATTAAC